TTTCATCTGATGGCAACTCTCTTAAGTTTCAATTTCTGGGACACATGGTGTCCAACAGCAGGGCCTATTGTGAAAGAATTATCTGGGTTCATCCCAATTCTAAAATACTATTATTTCAAGGACTGACAACTGACAACCATTTTACATCCCCTGTTTTACTCTCTTCTATACATAAAAAACAAAAAAAAACAAAAAAAAAAACCATAGAAGCAGCTTATTCTAACGTGGGTATCTAAGCTGCATAACATTAAACTTAAATTTCATTATAAATGTTCAAAACTTTAAGACACAAAAAAATGTAGCAGTGATTCATGGTCAGCAAGTTGTCATATTCTTGATGAATCCTAATGGTACAAACCTGGTAGGCAGATACAGGAGATGCAATATAGGGTGTAATAGAAGTTTGTGTGATCATTCGGTTTGTAGCAATACTGTATGGTGAAGGGTAAAATCTAGAACAAACACAAAAGCCTTTATTAAGTAATCCTTTAAATAGAATATTTCATGGAATAAATGTCTGATATTTTCCACCTTCACGTTTTCCCTCAAGCCATTACGTATTTATCTTAATAACATACCCGTTTTGTATAGCAGCTGTGGTTGGGTCATAAGTAAGTGTCATTCCAGCCTATGGGAATGAAAAAGAAATAGAAAAATTCATCTGCAAAGGCAAAATTTAAAAATACTATTTCTTAGAGTCATGACAACATAAAACAGTGCTAGTTTAGTAACATTTAATGAAACTGAGTTTCTGTTAAGACAAAAATAGTTATAAACTCAATATGAGAATTAAGGTCTAGATCTGCACTGTCCCATAAGGTAACCATTAGTCACGTGTAGTGGTTTAAAATCAAATGAAAAACTGAGTCTCTCCAGCATACTAGCTACATTCCAAGTGTTCAAACAGTCACAAGTGGCTAGTGGTTATCACTGAGCAGATTCTAGAACATTTCTACTGGATGGCACATCCCTGGACATTTTCAAACAGGTATGTTACTTTTCTAAAATAATAACAATTCACTGCAAATAAATACGGGGAAATGGAGGTCCAACATTTTTATTAGGAAATGGAGCTTTTTTGGGAGGAAGGAAGCAGATGGGGTGAAAGGGGTCAAATATGTGGCGACAGAAAGAAATCTAACTATGGGACATGAACACACAATGCAATATATATATATATCTTACTGTTAAATTGTACACCTGAAACTTACTGGATTTCGTTAACCAATGTCACACACACACACACACATACACACACACACACACATAATTAAAAAAAAAAACACACTTTGAGGTCCTGGAATTAATGAATGTGTCATTAAAAAAATTTGAGCTTTTCTTAAAAAAAGAACATTATTTAAAAGAATTAGGCAAAGAAAAACTCAAAAACAAATATACTATTTATTTTTATTTAGAATGATTTCTGAATAATTATGAATGTAAACCTAAGAAACCATGACATTAAGAAAATAGCGTGCATTTCTTACAGCGAGTTAAAATGTTCTTTAATTTTATGTGTAGTTAACTAGTAAACATAGCTGTTTCTACCATCTATGTGTCCATCTGGTGAATCACCACTATCTTAGTACCGTATCCATTAGGAAGAGTTTTAATTTCAAGTTATCTGGATTGTAAAGTTTTAATTCTGGTACCTATCCCAGAAGTGTGGCAGCCGAGATAAGATGATGCTTGTGTAACTATGCACATAGGCTTTCATGATTATACAACCATACTAAAGTTTCAAGAAAGAACTTACAAGTCTCACCTCTCCTTCTCTATGCCATGGTCTTCCATTAGGGATGTATTTATTTGGGTTCTGCCTCTTCTTCTGCCCTCCATCGGCAAACTTACACAATAAAGGTTCTGTAGGAGCTGAATAAACATGGAGAAAGAATATGAAACCAAAATTATATGTGTATATGGATGATAAAATATAAGTGAATTTCTGTTTTAATAGGGGCAGTGTGAGTGTTATAAGGAAATTGATAGAACACTTGAAGGCAAAGGTTTACTCTGACCCTTAAGATTATCCACTGGAGAAAAATATAGTACAGAATACGTATTAGTTATTATTGTCAAACCAGAGTGTAATGAGGACATTTAAAGAGCTATTCTGAGGAAGCATAGGAATCTTTTAATCCACATCTGCCACTTCTTTAAGTGCAGATACGCATTTTTCCTTTCTGGGCCCTCTCCAATTCCACCTCTATAAATCTTCAAATGTAAATATAATTGCATCATCCTCTCCTGTCCCAACAGCTGCCCATGTAATTCCTCAGCGAGGCCTTCGCTTCCCCAGGTAGAAAACAAGTTCCCCTTTATGTCCATCAAACTATATTTTTATTCAGAGCATTTACTCATGGCATTTATAGAAACGTGAGTGGTGATTTAGTGTCTGTTTGCCCTCTAGAGTGTAAGCTCCATGGGGGGAGTAACATGTTTTTGCTAATCACTGTATCCCTAGTGCCTAAGCGTCTGGCATGCTGTAGGCACTTATTGCATCTTGGTTGAACAAATGAATGAATCAAATAGGTCTCCTTTGTTTTTGATACACAACATGAAACAGCAGTTGAGAGAAAGCTGAAAACATGTGCCTACCCTACTTAAAGGTTTTTCTGTGCCTTTAATCATCCCACTTGGTGTTGCTTTACTATACGGTCCACAGAACAACTCAAGAAACTAACAAAGAAAAACTAAAGATGCAGAGATACTATTTCAAAGGGATGCGTATGCATTAGTTTAAAAAAAGAGAGAGAAAAATGAGAAGAAAAAAAATGGTATGGCATAGCAGGCCATCCATGACTTTTCCTTTCTATAATGGAAATAGAGTGTTCCTGAAAGTTGTGCATGTTTCTGTAAGTTTCCAGTTAATGTAATAAAGGCAATCACACCTTCCTGTCTGGTTCTCACATTCTGTCCTTTGTCTACTGTAGAACCGTGATTACTACTTTCAAGTTCTGTTTCGAAGTTAAATAACCATGAAGAGAAAAATATTACTTGTAGAAAATTTACTCCTTTCTCCTTTGCCTCTTATTATCCTAATTCATCTCTTATTTTATATCACTATTATCCACCCACTAATGACAGGGTGGAAGCAATAGTGCCTCTCAACGCACTTCTCTGCCAAAAAACAAAATACAACAAAAAACCCATCTGTAATTCCTTCTCGGTGAGCTGTCCAAGCTGTTGTGTGGCACTCTTTTCTCCTCTCCCTGGTGTGACCCACTCCAGAGAGGCAGGCTAGAATGGGAGCTCACCTTTGAATGGCGACTATTCTGGGGGTACTACGAAGTGAGAGCAAAACTGTGAGGTGCCTGGTGAGAAAACAGCCTTGGCTCTACCGTTCACAAAGGGGTCCTTTGTTTTCCTTCTGATGCCATACATGCCTCCCACTCGCCACTTACCTGAACAAAAAACGTCGATTTAAGGCAAATTGGGTGGGATGGAGGATGGACTGGGGCAAAATCCTAGACTGTAGATGAACTACTCTTTTTGTCTTTTCAAAAAAAAAAGGTATTGACTTTTTAAAATTTCCACCTTCATCAACAATTCCAGAAGGTAAAGAAAATAGATGCAATGAAGCAAGAGAGCTTTCTAATCACTGATGATGCTTTAATTCTACAACTGGGCCATCTAGAGATAGATGGAAAGTAGGGCTAAGAGAATACAGACCACAAGCAGAAATAAGGGGATAAAGGGCAAACCCTCCTGAGAGTAAGGAGAGAGTCTATCTGCTGTGGCCGTGGATGTCTCCTCTTGACTTTTAAGGACAAATCAAGCACTCGAAGAGAAGCAAGATCTGACTCTCCACTGTTCTGGCAAGGTCCTTATGGCATCAAATGTTTTCTCCCATGACATCTGAGGTTTTAGGATTTTGCCTTCCCATAACCTCATAGGGCAAGAGAGAGATAATTAACTCTGTCTGTGGTGCTGGAACTCTGTGGGGCTTCACTTTTGAGGAGATGCTTTTATCTTGAAGCATTATAAAGACTAGTTCCAAGGCTGAAATTTAACTTAAAAAAAAAAAAAAAAAAAAGTTTACTTGGCATGGAGAGTAATGCAAATGGACCATTTTCCTCCAATAGCATCACTTCTCCCGGAGAAAGAAGGCAACCAGATTGGACTCATTCTGGAAATATACTACAAGCTGCCTAAGCAGGTATGTGTGAATTAAAGCAGTTGATAGCATCCCTGGGCAGTGCTGAAGTGCCACATTTGTTGAAAGGCGGCCAGGTGTCCCTATCTGTGATAAAGTGCTTCCAATACCTTTCCATTCATTCGGACTAATCTCTGTCAAAGAAAAAGCAATCTCAGGCAATAATAAAGCCTGCTAAAAACATAATGATGAGGTGAACATCAAGTGACCGATGACATGTTTGCAAAATGTATCATTTTAAAATTAAACAAATGGAACAGGATGTAGTCAAATCTTTCAAAAATGAATTATATTTACTACATGATTCTGTACTGTCATTGAGATACTTTTCCCCCTCAAAAACCAAAAAGGTATGTAGTTTAAAGTCTGTCGACTAACAGGTGTCCCATATCTTAGGAAAACAAATTTCTTATTTTAAAGGATTGTCACCAGTAGAAATGATACATTTTTTAGATAGTTTCTGGCTCCCTGTTTCAGTATTCCACGTGAAGCAATATATAATTCTAACAGCTTCTTTCCTCTATTAAAATTCCCTTTGATCTACTTAACTGAAAGTTTTATCGAGTGCCTACTATGTACAAAGCATAGTGTTAAGAACTAGGGATACAATAAGGTATAAAAATAGGCTTGCAGTCTAATGGACATGAGAGTGTATCCAATCTTTAAAAAAACCCATTTAGCCATTTATGGGACAGGGCACTGTTTTTAGAGTTGTTTGTTTTTAATAAAAATGCCACCCAGAAGCGAAATACTTCTGATATGGGAACAGCTATATTCCTTTTATAGCTGCTGCTCCACGTACTTGGATGACATTATGAGAAATAGTTTAACCCTACAGGTTCTTGATATCTTATTCATTTTAACGACTGTGTGAAAATTTCTTTAAGACACTTTTATTACCATTAAGCTGAGTAAAGGTTAGATAATTTCATTGTCTCTGGTTTGCGTTTTGGAGCCTAATACATAGGTTCTAAGTTAAAGCCTGGGAGACACATGCGATGTGACGTTGTTGTACAGACCAACCAGTCCTTCAGGTGGCCTGATTGCTCTTTTTAGAAGGGACCTATTAAGGAGAACTGGCATTGAGAAAAGGAAGTGCCATGAATACTGGTAACATGACTATGATCAATAGGTAAGTTTGGGTATATTAACTTAAACAAATTAATATGAATAGTCAACCTGTAACTTCTAAAGGTCACTTTTCTAGATTAGCAACTCGTTACCTTACTGTGCAAAACAGTAACAGCAATAAGTTCTAACAAATGATTCGTGATTTAAGATATATTCTTGTATCAAAGTGATATAAAAATTATATAGTTACCCTTAATCAATTCATTTATTTTACTAAATATGCAGAGTATTCTAGGCTGAATTTCCCCTTAATCACAGTCTTTTGGGTTTGTAAAGGGTATGCCTCAGATTTTACCCCAATCGACATTCTGTAATATGTAAACGGCCCTACACAGAAGCTTTTCCATCAGTTTTGGAAAACTAGCCCACTCAATAATTCTATTAGCTTTCTTTCTGATAATGTTGCCTTCCTTCAAAATTCCTCATATAATAACATGCAAGGAACTATCTGTGACTCTTTAAAATTTTCAGCCTAAGCATCCAAAAATATCATCCTTTTTGGGGGGGATGAGATCTTTCAGGTGATTCTTTTTCTTATTTATTATCCAAGACAGAAAAGTTATTTTCTCGTTCATCAAAATCAACAGGAACATGTATCTCCAAAGCTTAACTATGGTAGTATAACTCTCAGCAGGCAATGCCACAAGTGCAAACAATGATCTGCTATTTTTTGTCACCTCTTAAGAGCCATCTAAGGTAACTGCATTACTGGATTCTCCAATGTGCCCTCAGCAGGGCTTTGCAAGTGGAATGATCTTTTACAAATGCCTGACTTTGTGGCACTAACCAAATCACCCCTAAGAGACTATGAGCCATCTGGGCGATGTGCCTGTAATGACTCACTGAACTTCTCTACCAAGCAGTTTCCGCGTATGCTTTACGAAGCTCAAGCACTACAGTGATTTATGCTCAAATGTCTCACCTTGATATCCCCACTAAAAACTGCTTCTAGAATGCCCACTTTGACTAGGCACTAAGCTTATGATATGACCTCCTGGAAGTCCTCACATATCTAATCAAGTGTCTCAGAGGACTCGAGTTCTCTGTAGTTTGTAACAGAGTAGACTTTTCCTTACTGTGTTCTAACAGCCAGAGAAATGCTACTTCCAAACTCTCATTTTTTCTAGCTATGTAGTATTTTATCCCATCAACACTCTATAAAACATAAACTGCCCTTGATGGAAGCTGCTCCATCAGTTGTGGAAAACTAGCCCACTCAGCAACTATAGTTAGTTTTCTTTCTGATAATGTTGCCTACTTTCAAAATTCCTTAAACTAACAACATGCTAGGAACTATCTGGGGCTCTTCTTTTAAAAAATTCAACCTAAGGCTCCAGTAAAAACAATCGTGTGTGTGTGTGTGTGTGTGTGTGTGTGTGTGTGTGTACACACACAGGCATCCCTTCCTCTTTTAGCCACCTCTCTGTTTCTAACCAAATCCTGCTGTCCTGCCCAACCATAACTCAGAGCTACAGCTTCTCTCGACAGAGGCCTATCTTCCCAGGCCTGCTCCGGTAGGTTTCCCATCTCTCCTCCTTTCCTGATCCTATATAGTGTTGCCATCTTCCACTTAGCTTTACCTACC